CGTAATATCATGCTAGGATACATAATGGAGCTCAAGGGGAGACTTAACCGAAGTAATATGAACATTATGGAAGACGAGGAACAACATGGGGACTACAGCAGAGTGAAGGACTATCTGAGTGAAGGGAAGGGGGGGGGGGGCAGGATGTAATGGAGCTGTTCATCCTACTCAAAAGGTGAGATAGACGAGGTAGGTAAAGTAATTATTACTATGTAATTATCACTGAAGACATGTGTGAAGAACTTGAGAAACAATTACAGACGACAAAATAACCAGTGTGGATTTTATCAGCCAAAAATGCACATACAAGAATGATTTGTGTACTACGGTGCACTCCACACTGTGTGGGCGCACTCCGCGCACTCCACACTGTGTGGGCGCACTCCGCGCACTCCACACTGTGTGGGCGCACTCTCTGCACTCCACACTGTGTGGGCGCACTCTCTGCACTCCACACTTGCGGATCACAAGGACAAAAGCATCAAAGAAACAAACGCTAACTGAAAGAGTTATCTGAATAAACACCAAAGGTTTGAGGGAAAAAAATTCACGGGAGCACAAAATATCTCAATATTGAAGTAGGGGGAAACAAAGGGTGGATATGGGAGGGGATGTGGGAGAGGGCAGGGATGGAGACAGTGGATGGGAGAGAGGAGAGATACAGACAGACGCCCACAGGAGATCCCCAAGCTCACCCTAACACGGGTGATTTATCAAGTTTTTCTAGGCGGAAGTTTGTTTTTGCATTGGCGTGGCGAGGCAGAGTTCCTACCTTTGTGAGCTTGTATATATAACCCGGCCGTCCACACCCTCCTCCTCCTCCTGGCCAATCCTGGCCGCAATAATGCCGTCGCCGGCCCACCATAACACACCATCAATAACACTAACAAAATCAATGGTGATATGACACCGCCTCGCTGACAGGAGGAGCAGAGAGAGAGAGAGGAGCTGTTGGGCACAGCTCCGGCGAGGGTCAACAGTAAAGGTGTCGAGGGAGACCTGACTGTGATGACTGCACGAGCACAGCCGTGACAGCAGGTACTTACCGTGGCGGCGGCGGCGGCGTAACACCCGTAGGACAACCCAACTCACCTGTGGGAAGGACAACACTTCATATTATCCTCCTCAGTTACAGGTCAGAAAGTGAGGTAGTGCAAGGGGGGAGGAGTGCAAAAAGGGGGGGGGGGAGTGCAAGGGGAGGTAGGGGGGTGGGAGTGCAAGGGGAGGTAGGGGGTAGGGGGAAGGGCTAGGGGGGTAGGGGGAAGGGCTAGGGGGGGAAGGCCTAGGGGGGAAGGCCTAGGGGGGAAGGCCTAGGGGGGGAAGGGCTAGGGGGGGGGAAGGGCTAGGGGGGGGGAAGGGCTAGGGAGGGGGAAGGGCTAGGGGGGAAGGGCTAGGGGGGGGGGGAGGGTAAGGGGGGGGGAAGGGCTAGGGGGGGGGAGGGTAAGGGGGGGGGGAAGGGGAGATAATATTACATGGAAAGAGGCAGAATTTCCTCTTCATGGGATAACTTACACACTTGCACCGTGTGTAAGTTACAAGAAAAAGAAAAAAAAAGATGGCAGAGTATATATATATAGATATTTCAAAATATTCCCATTACACGGTGCAGTATTATTTACCTGTAAGGGTAAAGTGAATGATCACTGAGGCTAATGTTTACCCGTCTGTGACTATGGTGGAGAGCAGAGTAAGTATCTGGCGGCCAGAGCCCTGCCGTAGTCTGGAGTACACACTTACCTTATCCATCTCCACTCAACTTCCAATAGCAAGTGCAATCCAAAATAATCATTTTGTTATTATCGATGAAGTTAGCCATGCCTTCGCGCGCTAACAAAAGTCGTGTAGTTAGAGGAAACTATCGCCAGGTGTCGTCGTGGGCCACCTAACTCTCTGCAAACCCAATAATAATAGGGAGCCGGCCGGCCGAGCGGACAGCACACTGGACTTGTGATTCTGTGGTCCCGGGTTCGATCCCGGGCGCCGGCGAGAAACAATGGGCAGAGTTTCTTTCACCCTATGCCCCTGTTACCTAGCAGTAAAATAGGTACCTGGGTGTTAGTCAGCTGTCACGGGCTGCTTCCTGGGGGTGGAGGCCTGGTCGAGGACCGGGCCGCGGGGACACTAAAGCCCCGAAATCATCTCAAGATAACCTCAAGAATTCATTGTGGCGGCCATGATGCTGAATGGCCTTCACGCTGTCGTTAATAATGAGGCAGAAAGTCGTGGTGTGTGTCATCAGGCCAGTAAATATTGGCTTGGGGGGAAGGATATCATTCCTGGACGCTGCCCCCTGTGGAAAATATAGTGGATGGCGCATACGGCAGAACCAAGTTATCATCAAGAGGAGCCTCGCCGCGGCCCACCGTCTACCACAAAGCTTCATTATCTCATGTCCTGTAAATCTGCTCTCCCCCGCTGGTCGCCCGCGTGTTGGTGGGGCACTATACCCACACAGGACGGGCACACAACTGGCCTGGGGTTATACCTGTGTGTGTCCACCTCTACAGCACATACAATGCCCTCATTAACGGTCAACCAGGGCCTGCTCTCACCCACCACCCGCCGCCCTCTTACCTAATGTCTCGCGTTTTGAACAGCATCCACAAATGCATTAAAAGTGTCATGTATTAGTAACAATAAAGCACTATAATATTTACGTTTTTTTTGTCATGAATTGACTTCTATAGTCGGTGGGTGGCTTGACGTTCGTGCATTTCTGGTTAGGCGAAATACGGATTTGTTTTTGGTATATAGTAGCAAGTCAAGAGAACGGTCTGCTCCCGCGCGTAAAGAATCGATTGGAGTAAGAAGAGGGACAGAGGCCACCAGCACAACGTTGTGTCCAACCACTTGGGCTGGACGGTATATGTCTCCGGTCGGTATATGTCAGCCGGTCGCTATACCGGCATATATGACGGTATATGTCTCCCGTCATATATGTTGATTTGTGCAACCAATTACAGCGTAACGTGGTGGGGTGTCTTTTGATTGTTTCCAATGTGATTTGGACAAGTATATGAGTGGGATTAGGTAGTTATAAATAGGAGCTGCCTCGTATGGGCCAATAGGCCTTCTGCAGTTACCTTTATTCTTATGTTCAGGCAGGTCAATCCCCAACCGTTCAAGTGGTTAGACGCCATCCCCCCCCCCCCCGGTGCCATCTCAAATCCTTATCCTGATCTCTTCCAAGTGTTTAAATAGTCGTAATGGCTTGGCGCTTTCTTTATACTTCCTCTATATAATAAAATTATATAATTCCTCTTGATAAAATATGCTTGGGGGGAGAGGTGCACAGATAACCCACCTGCTCATTTTATCTCACACTGATAAGCTAATTCATTGTGGTAGATGTGTTGGGTGGTTAAGTAAGTACTTGGAGACAGGGGGTGGGAGGTGGATAAGATAGGGGGAGGAGAAGAGAGGGAGGAGATAGGGGGGTGGTAAAAGATAGGTGATGGAGATAAAAGAATGAAGACATGTAGATAGAATACAAGAGCGTCCCTACACCTCCAACCCACACCCTACCCCTTTCCTTCTCTTTACTAACCATATTCTCAGTGTACAGCTTAACTTGACAATTCAAACAAGGCTACTTCTATATATATATCTCGTTCCATTTCATTGACGTAATTTTGCGTCTCATCAACTTGGTACTATGGTCTCATCTTCCGGCGGGGCCACAGTGCTCTCATTACCATTAACTATATCAATATCTTCTGCTGGATCACCTACGTCGTCTGGTCAACCAGGCTGTTGGACGCGGCTGCTCGCAGCCTGACGTATGAGTCACAGCCTGGTTGTGATCAGGTATTCTTTGGAAGTATTTATCGATTTCGTCTTTTGAACACCGAGAGGCCGGCCAGTTATGGCCCTTGTGTGTAGCGGGAGTGTTGAAAAGTCTGGGGCCTTTGATGTTGACAGTTCTCCCTCACTGTTCCTATGGCACCACTGATGTTTAGTGGGGCTATTTTGCACATCCTGCCATGCCTACTGGTCTCATGTGATGGTATTTCTTGTGTTCAGATTTGGAACCAGTCCCTCTAATATCTTCCACGTGTAGATTATTATGTTTCTCTCTCGCCTGCGCTCCAGAGAATACAGATTTAGAACTTTTAATCGGTCTAATAATTAAGATGACTTATAAGAGTGGATTCTAGCGGTAAAGGATCTTTGCACGCTCTCTATGTCAGCCCAGCCCACATTACAACCACACCACACACCTGTCATATAGAGGTGTCATAGGTACAATCAGAGGTCTGAACATCAGGGGTCCACAGCTGTTCAACATCCTCCCAGCAAGCATTAGAAATATTGCCGGAACGAAGGTGGATGTATTGAAGAGGCACTTGCAAGAAGTACCGGACCAACCGGGCTGTGATGGGTATGTGGGCCTGCGGGCCGCTCCAAGCAACAGCCTAGTGGACCAAACTCTCACAAGTCAAGCCTGGCTTCGGGCCGGGCTTGGGGAGTAGAAGAACTCCCAGAACCCCATCAACCAGGTATCAACCTAGAAGCTCTAAGTCCAGCCTTGTGTTGGGGGGGGGGGGGGGGGCTGTGGCAAGTAACAAAAGCCACACACCCACCCCCCCTCCTCTTCCACCTCTAACACCGCTACGCTACTCTCTGCCTCCTCTCTAACCCCCCCACTTCCCCCCCCCCTCCTCACTACTCAAGCTTGCTAGCCACTGCAGCTTTAAGATGCGTCTTGGCCTACTCGGGCGGGAAGCTGGTAGCACAGCAGCGGAACGACACCCATACTGGTTCCCCACACAGCCCCCCCCTCCTCACCACATTTCCGGCACCTCAGCACTCAGACCAGAGGTCACACACATCATGTGGAAGGGACAGAGGTCACTCATCGTTCCATAACATCAAGAGCCCCGCCTGGCCAATCACGTGTCAGGAAGAACACGTAGTTGGGTACTCACGGTACAAGACACAACACGGAAGGTTCAAAGTGGCGCGTAATCAAGTTAGAAATAAGAGGTGGAACAGCCTACCTGTCGAAGTAGTTGTCGGAGTGGGCGCACTTGAGGAGGCGGGCGAGGGGGGTGGCGGAGGTGGCATCTTCCTCCCCGCTGCCACACCCCTCCTCCTCCACCCCGCCCCCTCCTCCTCCCTCCTCCTCCTCTTCCTCGTCCTCCTCGTCGCTGCTACCTTCGCCGCCCGAGGACGCTGGGCCGCCCATGCCCTCAGGACCGCCCATGCCCATGGCGGGTCCCTCGCCGCCGCCTCCGCTCCCATCTGGTGGGTCAAAAGATAAAACAATTTAGTCAAAATGTCACTACACATAATTATGTTATTTCTTCCATGACCTACACGGACTTGTACACTTACGAAAATATATAATATTAATTCTTAAAAATATTATAACGTAGAACACACACACACACACAAATACACACACACACACACAAATACACACACACACATCAAAGAGGTGATATGATCACTACATACAAAATAGTAACAGGAATTGATAAAATCGATAGGGAAGATTTCCTGAGACCTGGAACTTTAAGAACAAGAGGTCATAGATATAAACTAGCTAAACACAGATGCCGAAGAAATATAAGAAAATTCACTTTCGCAAACAGAGTGGTAGACGGTTGGAACAAGTTAGGGGAGAAGGTGGTGGAGGCCAAGACCGTCAGTAGTTTCAAAGCGTTATATGACAAAGAGTGCTGGGAAGACGGGACACCACGAGCGTAGCTCTCATCCTGTAACTACACTTGGGTAATTACACTTAGGTAATTACACACATAGGAATCAGATCAGGACTCTGTACACCTGTTGATTGATGGTTGAGAGGCGGGACCAAAGAGCCAGAACTCAACCCCCGCAAACACAAGTAGGCGAGTACAACTAGGTGAGTACACCCACACAAATTCCCCAACGACTTCAAAAATAAAGAAAACTTTCACACTTTGAGCATATATACTTCATTATTCGCGTACATCAACGCGCATAAGAGAAAATGGAACAAAATGCTTGGATATATATACCCAACCCCACTCACACGAGGCCATTTACGGGCTATTCATGCCCGTGCCACCCTTTGGATGGTTTAATCTTCACCAATCCCTACACCATCCTAGTCTGGCCCCCGTATTACTATGGCCAACCATATCCCTGGATAACATCCACCGTAGGCTGACCATGCAGAGCCTACTGCTGTTAGGCTCAGCTATACGAGTGAGAGGGGGGGGGGGGGAGGTGGGCCTACATTCCCTGTAGGAGCAGGGCGAGGGGAAACTGAAGAGATTCCGAAACCTCTCTCTCCCCTCACTGAGGAGAGAGTAAGGAGGGGGGAGGAGCGAGCGAGGTGGGGGGGAGGGTTTAAAATGAAGCTGGAGGCAGGGAAGAGAAGGGGGGGGGAGTAATGATGGAGGGGGGGGTGAATAACACGAGCGAGTAGGTAACTGTGAAAGAATAGCGCCAATATTAATACAGAAACAAATGAAGAAGCAAATTACAACCGGTGAAGGACCACGAGCCAAGACCGGAGAGGGAGCTCCATAAGCCAAGACCGGAGAGGGAGCTCCATAAGCCAAGACCGGAGAGGGAGCTCCATAAGCGCACGACAAAAAGAAGAGTAAATGGAGAAAGATACAATAAACCAAGTTTAGTGAGGAAACGAGAAACCAGTAGACTAATAAATTAATTTATGGGAGGGAGGCGAGCTGGCCAGCGGGTGTGAGGGAGCCGTGAAGACCACTGCGCCTCCACACGGCCCTCCAGTCACCCATTATTGACCTCTTTACGTATGTCTAAGGATCAGTTGCCAAGGTCAACCTCGAGATATAGCCACACAACACAGACTCCTCGCAGCGGTAACCACAGCAGTTGCAGCTTTTGTCGGCTGACAACTCACGCTCCAGAGTTTAATAAGCGTGTGTTGGGACCGTTTGTTTTCACCTGATGCCTCTCTTCACCTGGCAGTAAAGAGCCCGAACCTTAGACAATTATGGTGGGTTGCATCCTGAGGGGAAGGGCAGTATATGGCCTAGGGGGGACTTGGATAAAGCTAAGTACAGGCTTCCTGTCGGAAACTATTTACAGCTGGGTGGCTGGGCCGGGCTGGTGGGGGCAGGATTATTATCATTTCCTCGTCTTCCAATTCAAAGGTACAACAAAGTTTTTACCGTGTCATTATGTATACGTTTACTTTATTATTATTATTATCATCATATTTCATGGACATTAGTGCTATTGGAGTTGAACAAACCTTATGAAATAACTTTGGTTTCATAATGTATTTAGTTGTGATTGGCTGGAGCCTGTTTCAGTCAAGTAGTGGTCCACAATGTGTACACGTCTTCTTGTACTGTGGTGGTGGTGACCGTAACCTGGCAGGCATATGGACACCCTAGCCGCAGTGAGTGAGTGTTGAGAGGTCTTCACCCATGGTGACGTGTACTGGAAGGTGGCCGACCTGTACCCAGTAACTCCTTCCTACCACACAAATGACTGTACCTTGTAAGCGCCTAGTAGCATTTGTGGTGAGATGAGCCACAGCTCTGGTCCCGCCTACTCAACCCTATATCCACCGGTGTACACATGCCATACCCAACTGGGCTCTGTCAGATCAATATTTCAAGCTGTGTGGGGACTCCTACTATGCAATTTTACTGCTTTGCGAATTCTACTTGTTCACACTCTTCACGCTGAAAAAATCTTCTTAATGGGTAGCTCATTTGGGAACTTATATTCCATCTGTGTCCCTTTGCTCGTGTACTACCCATGATAAATGATGTCCTTTTCTGTTCGTCTATTCCTCTCAGTATTTTGTATGTAGTAATCGTGTCTCCCACTCCTGTTTATTTTCATCGTGACGTGAGGCTTGACTCCTTCAGCCTTTCTGATAACTCATCCCTCTCAGCTCTAGTACATGCTTCTCAACTTTCTCCAGCTTCGTTTTGTATTTAACAAGATAAGAAGGGTAGAAGGCATGGCAGGATGTGCAGAATACCCCCGTTGAAGAGCAGAGGTGCAATAGGTACTCTGAGAGAGAACTCTACCAACCTGAGGCCCGAGACTGTTCAACACGCTTCCACTATACATAAGGGGCAAACTGGCCGACCCCTCACAATGTACAAGAGAGAACTTTTTAAACACCTCCAAAGGATACATGATCAACCAGGCTGTGAGTCATACGTCAGCTGCAAGCAGCTGCGTCCAACAGCCTAGTTGACCAGCCAGCAACCCGGAGGATTGGTCGAGGACCGGGCCGCGGGGACCGTTGAGTACTGAAATCATCGCAAGGTAACCATCCGCAAGGTAGAGCCGCGCGCTTCAGAACTGTTCTGAAAAAAGTGTACAAAATCCTGGACGACTCTGTTTAGATTCTGAGAGACAGGTCTTTATTCAGCCAACCTTAGGTATGCCGCTGATGATATTCATTTGATGTGGTTTCAGATGAAAAGTTGGGTGTAATATCAATGGCGGACTTTCCTCCCGTATAGTACTTTATGTCCAGCCTCGTGTTCACCGTACATAGCTTCATTTGCATGAGTTACACACTTGTAGACACTAGAGGGACCATTTTTATTTTCAGCTTTTAATCCTATTTATTCATTTTTAAATAATCAGGGAACAAAGATGAAGTCTATCCCTTCTGGTAGGTTGTTCGGTTTGATTAAGAATAGGAGTAGCCCTAATACTTACCCGTGTGGGACGCCACGCTAAGGTCTCTTCTTAGTTGCAAAGGTACTCCTTTATCCACCGGAGTACCTTCCCTGCCACTCCTGTCTGTTTCTCCATTTTGTGCACTAGTCTTCTGTGAGATAATGTGTCGAAGACTTTCAGTCAAAAGTATACAATCCGCCCACCCTTCTCTATCTCGTCTGATCTCAGTCAGGGATCAGAACCGTTCAAACAACTATATGGTTTGTGAGGCAGGATTTGGCATTTCGGAACCCATGGTGATATTGTTACAAAATCCCTGATCACCAGATATTGTACTAGCCTCTTTCATATGATTGTTTCATTCACCTTGCATGGCGTGCACTGACTGGCCTAAAGCTTAAATGTCTATTTCGTCTTTTGTACTGGCACTACACTGGCTGTCTTCTAACTCTAGTTGTCACGTTTCCAGTGACTTTATGCAGTATATGAAAGTAAGAAGCCAGCACAACGCTTCCGATGCTGCTGGCATCCATGGTAATATAGTATCTGGCCCCAAAAGTCTAGCAGGTGCCTCCTCTCCTCTGCCTCTGGTATCTCAAAGTCCTCCAGTGTTACTTGGTTTGGCTCTATCACCCTTAGTATAGGAACCTAACCTTATTCTATTGTGAAGACCTCCACCAACCTCTTGTCGAGTGTCTCGCTTCTTACATACACACACACACGCGTCTACCCGCAAGAATTGTTGTTCCCAAACTACTGGTATTGTTCTTTGATGTTGATTAGTGATTGCAGAGATGTTGACATATCAAATATTTTTACATGATGCTGCTTAAATTAATTTACCTTAAATTTAACTTCAATAGATACCTACACAATTAGGTATCCATTTAATTATCGTCTACTTTTAACTCAAGTGTCATTTTAGAGTGTGATCGCGCAAGGCTCAGACTTGTGTTCACTATAGCAGCCTCGGACCATGTATACACCAGGCCAGCACCAACAAGGGCTGTGTGAGTTTCACAACGCACCAGTCAAATGCTGACTACAAAGACTCTACTCACCCAGTACTTGGACTTGTAGTCCACCTGACCCACACTCGACGCTATATGACTCTACACATGCGTCCTTCACCTTCAGCCTCTAGTGTGAACACTACCTAAACCAAAATATCTAATCTAGATTTAACTATACATAAACCCACAATATATAACACTACACACACAGTTACAGCCACTCTTCCTGTGCCAGGTAAGTCCACTACGGACTCACTAAATCTGGGGCTGAATCTAAAAACATCAACATAACAATATTAATTTATATTATAAAAAAAATTGTAATTATATATGGAATAGTACGCCGGATACCACACTTGACACGATATTCCATGTTTCACTTGAATGTGTTTGAACCTTTACGCAGAAAATGGAACAATTACCAGCCGGCTCGGGGATGTGGGTCAGTCACTCTCACGGCTGCCAGATGGAAGATCGATAATCAAAGCGGGACAATTTACTAGAGATGGGAACCACCCGTAGGAGGCGGTGATGGGGGTACTGAGACCCATTACCCAGACACTACCTGATAACCTTCCCCAACCCACTTGCACCGAGCCCGCA